ACACCATTCGAGATCGTGTGCCAGTCCAAGCCAAGCGTCAAACACATGCGTGTTTTTGGATGCCAAGCCTACATTCTGACGTCAAGTGAGAAGCGTCTCAAGTGGGATCCCAAGGCTCGTGTTGGCATTTCATGGGATATGAAGAAGTGTCGAGGGCATATCGAGTGTTTGATGTCGAAGCTGGACAAATGGTGATCACTTGCGATGTGAATTGTGATGAATCGACGTTTGGATATTCAATGGAATTATCAAGTGAAGAAGTCGATGATGCGATGTTGGACTTGGATCTTCTCGAGATCAACGACGATGATGTGCGTCAAGTCAACTATAGGCAGACAGCCAAGCGCAAATCCCGGCCTAACAACAATGTTGTGCACTCTGCTCGTACGCCCACTGGGTTGGAAGAAGCAAGTGCGCCAAATGCCTTGCATGATCGTCATCAGAGAAGTCGGTCAAATGTCCGAGAAGTGCCAGACTATGATGACAAAGAAGAGAAAGAAGGTATGAGCGATCACGATAATGACTCCACGCCTTCAGCTTTTTGGCGTGCTATTGCGAACGCAGCTGAAGCAAGTTGCAACTTTCCAAGATGCGATAAGTGGACCAAACCAAGTGCATTGTCACAACGCCATTCAGGCGGAACTCGAGTCGATGCAGCTTCGTGGTCTTTCGTGCTGCAAAATTGCCGAGCAACCAGCGCGCCATCGGTACCAAGTGGGTGTTCAAGATCAAGCGCAAAGCGGATGGATTGATCGAGAAGTTCAAGGCGCGTCTTGTTGCAAAAGGATTCAAGCAGAAATACGGCATCGACTATACGGAAACGTTCTCGCCGGTGGTGAAGTATGTGGCTTTACGCATGGTGGTCGCGATTACCAAGTACTTTGGCTGGCCTCTTGGCCAACTTGACGTGGCAACATTTTTCTCTATGGTGTGATGAAAGAAACGGTGTACTGCGCGGTTCCAGAAGGCGTCGTATTGGACGGAGACTTCAACTGTCTTGAGTTGGTGAAGGCAATCTACGGTCTCAAGCAAGCTTCTCGTGTATGGACCGAGACCTTCGATGAGTTTGTTCGTTCCATCGACTTTCAAGTTTCGGCCTATGATCCGTGCCTTTACATCAAGATTGTGGACGGTTACTGCGTACTGTTGCTAGTCTACTTGGACGATGTGCTGGTGACTGGGAGCTCGACGGAACTCATTGCGTGCACCAAGAGCAACCTCAAGACGCGCTTCGAGATGAACGACAGTGGCAAGTGTGCTTTTGTGCTGGGCGTAGAACTGGTCGAAAACGCCGACAGTAGCGTTACGATGTGCCAGCGACGCTATGTGGATGACATTCTGAAGCGCTTTGGGCTGGAAGACTGCAAGGCTGCAATAAGCCCAGCTGATGTGAGCACTCGACTGACTCGAGCGATGCATTGACCAAAGTAAGCGCTCCATTTCGAGAAGCTTTGGGAGCGCTCATGAATTTAACGACCGCATCATAAATTTTGCTGTGGGGTACGTATCGCGCTTCATGGAAAATCCCCAAGTCGAGCACTGGATTGCAGTGAAGCGTATTTTCCGCTATCTGCAAGGGACCAAGTCACATGGAATTTGTTTCAAGCCAGGTGAAGAAGTTGATTTTCGTGGATACTCCGATGCGGACTGGTCTGGAGACTATTCCGACCGCAAGTCGACTTCGGGATATGCGTTTCTGTAGATGAGCGCACCGATCAGTTATGGCAGCAAGAAGCAGTCAAGTGTGTCGCTTTCAACGAGCAAAGCTGAGCACACTGCACTCAGCTTAGCGATCCAAGAAGGCAAGTGAGTTCCCGACTGCTGATCAAAATTCTAGCAGCGTCAAATAATGCGGCTCCTGGACTGAAGATTCTCGAAGACAACCAGTCCTGCATCAAGATGACAAAGAATCCCGTCAACCATGGTCGTGCAAAACACATCGAAATCAAGTACCATCAAATCCGTGATGAAGTCAAGCGTGGCGAAGTCAAGTTGGAGTAATGTGAGACTTTAATCATGTAAGCGGACATCATGACCAAGGGTTTCGCGGACCGCGTCACAGAGAGATGACAGCGGCGCTCGGGATTCATGAGAGTTTGCATTGAGGGGGCGTATTGAGGGTTACCGGTACAATCCAAACTCTAAGGCTTAGAATATTTGGCAGAGTTCTTACAGGTAATTACGTCATAGTTGATTAGACGAGTAGCTTGATAGGAAGATCTACATGATTTGCATGTGGACTACATATAAATCAGGACGTGAACAGTTGCAACTGATTTATATGTGGACTGCATATTAATCAGTTGGTAGATAGAATAAGCTCTTATTAATCATTTGGACTACATATAAATCAGTTGTTAGATCTAATAAGCTCTTATAAATCAATCACTTTCCAATTTACTTTCTCCAGATCAAGTCTTCACCCTTCAAGAGCAGACTTCCTCCGCCCCTACCAAGCCCTCGCAAGACCAAGACTTATACCTTTCATCACAACTCCAAACCAAGTATCAAGCACATGCGATCATTCGGCTGTCAGACGTTTATACTGACTTTGAAGGAAAGGCGACTCAAGTGGGATCTTAAGGCTCGCGGTGGAATCTTTGGGCTACGAAAAATTGTCCAAGGCATATCGTGTACTTGACATCGAGTCAGTTCAGGTTGTTGTAAGTCGGGATGTCAACTTCGACGAGTCAAGTTTTGGACTTTCGCCACCAGTTGAAGATGACGTCGTCGATGACTTGGATTTTGACTTACTTGGTCTTGATGATGAAGGTTTGCGTCAAACGAAGTACCAGCATACTGGCAAGCCAGTGATGAAGATGAGGCTGATTGGCTGTCACGTACTGTACGTCAACAGCCTGGATTGGACATAACCAGTGGACCAAAGAATGGTTCGCCGCATTAAAAACAAGAAGATGAAAAAAACGAAAGAATCGGACGAATCGACCCCGCCTGTGTTTTGGTGTGCAAGTGCAAGTGCAAATGCTATTGATACAGCAGTGGATTTGTCGGAGCTGTCGGCATTTGAAGCAGCAGTGACTGGACCGGATCAAGTGCGCTGGCGTAAGGCGATTCATGCGGAGCTCGAGTCAATGCGACTTCGTGGATTGTTTCGTGCAACCAAGTTTGCCCAACGGACAGCGTGCCATTGGTACCAAGTGGATCTTCATGATCAAGCGTAAAGCGGACGGATCCATCGAGAAGTACAAGGCAAGTCTCGTGGTAAAGGGTTTTCGCCAGAAGTATGGCATCGACTACACGGAGACGTTTTCGCCCGTGGTCAAGTATGTGACCTTACGCATAGTCATTGCGGTCGCCAAGTATTTTGGATGGACACTTGACCAACTTGATGTGGTGACTGCCTTTCTTTATGGTGTAATGATAAAGCAAGTGTTTTGTGTAATTCCTGAAGGTGTTGGGGTGGATGGTGATTTTGACTGTCTAGAATTGGTGAAGGCAATTTACGACCTGAAGCAAGCTTCGCGAGTATGGAACGAGACTTTTGACGAATTTGAGTGTTCCATTGGATTTCAAGTGTCAGGCTTTGACCCATGTCTCTACATCAAGATTATGGGAGACCAACGTCCATTAATTTTGGTCTATGTGGATGACGTGTTGGTGACAGGAAGCTCACCCAAGTCGATTGCACGCACCAAAAAAGACCTGAAGACACGCTTCGAGATGACTGATAGCGGCAAGTGTGCATTTGTTCTTGGAATTGAGCTTTTGGATGGAGAAGATGGAAGCGTTACATTGTGTCAGCGCAGGTATATGGCTGACCTACTCAAGCGATTTAGCATGAATGATTTCAAGGCTGTGTCAAGTCTAGTGAACATGAGGTCTCGACTCGTTTCAAGCGATGCAGCTGCCGGACATACAAAGCGTTCTTGATCTCGATTTCACGATCTTCAGTATTTGGTAGAACCACTTCATCACACAGGTTAAGACTACTTTGATTTAATGTTGATCGTCTAGCACTAAATATAGAAGCTCCTACCTTATACTTAGTGCTAGTCATTATTTATCTGTCTCTGTAGCCTCCTAATATGTAAACATATATATACATTATATTAACCTCAGTATAATGATCACGTGGCTCTATGCCACGATGCGAACCCATGTACCCTTAGGTACGGTCACATCAACTTACCACAGAACCGAAAGTACAGCCACACCACGATGTGCGACAGGTGTGTATCTAATATACACCTTTGTGTAACCTCGTCACAAACGTGCCTTCTACACGATTAATCAAAGCACATATGCGCATCACCTTTGATTGACTCATCAATCTTCAAAGCTGCATCAGCGCAAATAGATCATTTGCACTCGCACGCCAACCCCCCCTGTAACCGAGCTACTGTAGCTACACTACTTATGTACTATGTGCAGAGGAAGACAAGCTCAGAGAGCTTTTACGTCTTAGGGTGCTTAACCCTCCTAGGCTAGCCGACCTATCGGTATTTATAACCGAGTCTCAGAGAGACTAGTATCAAAGATACTGATTCCTTAAAAGGAATAGTACGCTCAAGCAGTGATGCTTATAGAGCAGGTTTGAAACTAATTTATATTTATGTTTGTCTTCTAACACTAAATATAGAAGCACCTATCCTATACTTAGTGCTAGTCACTATTACTGGCTCTTTAGCCTATTATTATTATGCAAAATGCATAGTCACTATACTTTAAATAAGTATAGTGAACACGTGGCTCTCACCCTTCGTCCCCCTTTACCCAAGGTACAGCCACACCAAATAGGTGTGGCAGGTGTGTATGTAAAATACACACCTTCGTGTAACTTTCCCCAGATGAAATAACGAATGAGGTCTTCTGTCAAAACGATTCTTAATCTACATTTTTTGGTAAAGAGTATCCTTCAGCTGAATTGTCGTCAGGTGGAACGCATCAGTTCTAAAACAACAGCTTTTGACCCATTTTTGGTATTTCATTGGCTAAAATCTATAAAAAACACGGTATTGTTTGACTTCTTGATCAACAAGATGAATTGGTTCTTTGGGTCGTCCTCGACTACACCACCCGTGAGTGTCACATTGTCTTCATCAACCACCCAGGGCCGTAGTGCACCATCTGAAGAAGATGATTCACGACATAAGAATCGTGGTAATGAATTCTATAAACTAAAAAATTATGAAGCAGCTATTTATGAATATTCATTAGGTCTGGATCAAAACCCCACTGCGACACTTTATAGTAATCGTTCAGCCGCGTATTGTGCATTGGGATTATTCCAAGAGGCAAAAGAAGACGCTGATCAAGCAATTGTATTGGATCCACATTGGGCTAAGACGTACTCAAGAAAAGGCAAGGCTTTGTATGGTTTAGCCTTATACAAAAAAGGCAGCAGATGCCTATGCTCGTGGATTAGAGATTTGTCTTCGAGGAGCCGTAGGTGAAGCACAACAAAGAGATAGAGACCTGGCGTACGTCTAGTCAATTGTTTGATGTGTGATTCTTTTATCTTTATCATCATCATCATCATCTCGTTTCTCTCTTTTCTGTGGAGAAAATGGTTCTTGACTCTTGTACATTTGCTGAATAGAGCGCTGAAGCGTCAGACGGACAGCCAAGCAGAAGCATATCTTCGTCTTTTGGAGGAAAATAACCAACTTAAAGTAAGACTATGTATCTCTATGTATGACTGTGCTGTAATTGACAATCTACTGACTGACTGGGTCATTAAAAATGACGATTGGAATATTGTATGGATGTCGTGGTTCTGTTTTATCCATACCGTGTAGCGCCAAGTCGAAGACTATCAGCACATGTTTGGTGACTGGACTAAGAAGGAAATGTGATGGCATTTACATAGAGGAACCCTTGTCCTGCTTGTGTTTTGCTCTGGCTTCGTCGTTGGACTGTTTTTTTGCTGAAGTCATAGTTATCGACTGAGTCGCAGCTACTTTTGTTATTTACTTTCGCGCTGTCGCACCTCGCGGTCTTAATCGTGCATTGCGTTAGGAGTCGACTGGCACTGATGCGCATTTTTTCATACGTGGATCCACCGAATTTGACGTAACTGTGAAATGAAAACGTGACGAAGAGGAGGGACTTACGAGTAGGACTCCCGGCAGCTTATCTTATGAGATGGTATTGTATATATAGCGGGTTTACCCTGCAGTTTTATTGAGCTGAAGGCAAAGGTCACGCACGACAGTGATGATATGAGAGACGGCAGTGTCGCGCTGGGCTCTAGTGTCCGCTCGAACAAGCTTTGTCGCCGGCTATCAAGAGATAGGAAATATGTTTGTTGCAGCTTGCTACGCCTTTGGCTAGCTTCCCTATTTGGCTTGCAAAGTCATTTGACGATACTTTCTATGGATTCTATGATTGCAGACGCACCACACCATAACGAACACGAGTAGGTGGACGGCGCAACCTGCGGGCCTGCATTTTTGTTGCCAAATTCTTGCAGCTTTTCCACTCGTAAGCGAGGCAAGCATTAGCTCTTCTTCTGAACTATTGGCCATACTGAGTCAGCGCTTTATGGTTGCATGGATACACGAATCACATTGCAGATACGACAGCACTATACATCTGCTGCAGCACTTGAGATATTGCTCCAAAGTAAGTTACGTCATACTCTGCTACGTTGCTCGTGCCAGTCAAGACAGGCAAGATTATTCTGGGGAGCACTCGTTGCGACGCAACAAGGACCATTTCTGTCGTGATTGAAAAGCAATCGAAATGCAAAACATCTTCCGACAGCTTGGCATTTATAACGACTTCGCCATTTAGCGGTGCAGATTCTGTCTGTTCCATGTGATGATTTCCCTTGTGATGTCTGCCGTGTCAACCAACATAAGAGCCTCCCGTTTTTTCCTGATTACCCACTACTTCCACCATGAAAAAAAGAGTTGATAGTCCGCAAGGAACGCAGAAACAGTCTCGGTAGACAAGTAATTGGAATAGTGTCTTTGTCACAACTGCAGGCTCGCGCGATAGTCCCGAAAATGATGCTGCTGTTTCAACACGGCGTAGGGGATGCATCGTAAGCAGACGGTACCCAGACGGCGTTCTGTGCTTTGCGTCACACTTTCAGCTCCTGCTGCATGTACGTTCCAAGATGGCAAAAGCGCAAAGCCCTTTCAATCATACTTGCTGGAGTTGTTGTCAACCTTGATTCCAGTAACATGGCACCCGATGCGCCGTTTTCGGCTTCACCTTTATCGTTTATCAACGCAGCCAACAGACTGTCGTGCACTGACTGAAACGGTCCTCTCGAAACAAAACCAATCAAGGCCGTCTCCAAGCCGGTTCTCTTAGGACAACTTAGTCCGAGGGTAATCGGACCTGCGGAAAAGTATCTGCAACAATTTAAGCGACGAATGGGATTGCAGTCGTCCAGCGCAGTGATGCGAAGAGGCTTGTACACACCTCATTAAGTGTGCATCGCAACTATGTTTCAAGCTTTCGCTCTGCACCAGCCAGGTTCTTAATGATGCTAATTGGGTCTCTTTTCGCATCAACGGCGATGAGATGCTCCACACCTCATATTTGTAATCACTCCTAGCGAATAAAGCTGGAGGGTGAGTACCCTATGCTCCCGTACGAGCGAACTTGGGATCCTTCTGGATCTCGCAACAGATACTCGTGAATGAAGTTTAAAAATCGCAGTGCATACTCAGCAGGAGGAAGCGCAGTAATCTGTCGCTTGTCGACTACCGCAGCCAGCAAGCAGTGTTGCATTTTCCATCCAATATTGTAATGTTGCAATATATCCACAAACCCGAGATAGTAGACAGTTGACTGATCGGCCGAAACAACGGCATTGTGTGCAAGGTTATCCATAATCTCGGGTTCGATGTGATGGTTGTAGTGTCGAATGCCGAGCAGACAACTGTAATCCATGATACCTAGCTCTTGGAGAAACCCGCAATCGCTAGTTACCTGTGCAAGCAAGTTTGCACGAGTTGTAGGATTCACACGAAGTGACGCTCGGCGAGTTACAAAATCGTTATCATAGCGGAGAGAAGGACGCGAGCTACCACGGCGAAGCAGCGGCTGCTTTTCTGTAACATACCCCAGTTCGCTGTCCACGCTGTGGCCCTCGCTCAACACTGTAGCGTCTTCCTCTAACATGTGCGCAGTTCCTTCTTCTTCCCTGCCGCTTCGGCTCCAGTCACTTGACACTGGTGTTGGAACACCTTCTTGGTGCCTGAAGTTGGACTGGTGGAATATTCCTTTTAGGTCGTAGCGTTCATCAACCGGTCCGTCCGGAAAGATGTTCTTCATCACAACAAAAAACATTTTGTTCCATCCAACAGGAAGCTGCATCGAGTGACATCCAAGAAACCGACATAAGAGAGAATTCGGCTGCTTCAAAATATACTGGTGGTACAGTGGAAGCACCTCTAGTAGAAATGAGTGCTCTCGCTTCGTCATAGTCTTTACCAGGTATTTGCGATCACTTGTAAAGTAAAACAACATCCCAGACTTGCCTTCCGATGCGCGCTCCAGCAGCGTGTCTGCAAATGACTGCTCATACATTTCGTTGTCGACGCCACAAATCTCGCGAATATTTTGGAATACTTTGGGTGCATAGTCAGTGAAACCCAACTTCTCGTAATACCGATACTCGCCGTTGTAGACCGTAGTTGCTAGCCGCTTCTTCTCGTGATACAGGCCGGCTGATCCGCTTTCTTCCATTTGTAAAAATGATAGTGCAGCAGTGCGGTCTATTGATCCAAAGCGGTCTCGTGTCAGGTTAAGTAACGGGGAGCGTAAGCTGTCGGTAGGAAACTCGCTGATGCTGCAGCGGATTCCTGCAGTCGTGTATCGCATCAGATCTTTCCGCAGAGCAGCGCTGAAATGCTCCGTACTCAAGTCACCAGCTCCTCGCTCTGACTTGGACAGGTTATTCTCGCTCGAAAAATTCTGGTACAGCTCTGTGTTCAGGACCCAGACGATAAGCAGTAGCGCAGGGTATGATCCAAAGACTAGTGCAAACGCAAGCTCAAACTGTTTGGCCATCTTACCGTCAAAGTGTTCACAGTATGAAGCATAATACAGTGCACCGCACGCCACCCAATGGCCTGCAAACACTAGAAGATAGCGGTAGTACTGAATCAGATTGCGACGCTTCGCACGATACGTGACATCCAATTGTCGCCTTACAAAGCGGAAGCTTGCAAACAGTAGCACAGCAAGCGATAAGAAGCAGATTCCCCCCACGGCTGCAAATAGAAAGATCCAATTGGCCGTATTCACATCTTCTGAGTCTTTTGTGCGTTCGACCCAACAAATATTAAGTGACGAGAGACCAAAGAGCTTGAGCTGATGTAGCAATAGTGCCGAGACGGCACTTACAGTCCAAACACTACAACAAGAGCACCAAGAGCAACACAATAACAAAACACACACAGAGACATGATGCCATCATCATCATCATCATGATAATGATTAAAAGTGTCAGTATCTCCTTGTTTACTCCATATATTCATCATTTTCTTGTATCCATTTTTGTGACTTACATTGTATGATATGTCCATGATTTACAAGTATATCCCATCCATGGATTAACAAGTGCTACAAGTAAATCTAATGATAACATTAAGTACCATAAGGCACTTGCTAGTAGAAAAAATTGATTATATGGTGCTAAGAATGAACATTGCCATGGAATTAAATCATTCATCCACATCCTCTTCTTCTCTTCTTCGTCTGCTGCTGCTGCTTCTTCGTGTGTATGAATGTCATGAAGGAATAGGAATCCCAAGATAAAACCGATTGACGTCATGAATCCACAACTTGCATGCCATACAATAAGATTAGCTGCTGGATGTTGTGCTTTAATATTCGGTACCAAGAAATAAGAAAGTATTAATATTAAATAAATCATCATTCCTAATATTCCCACAAGGAAATACACTTGAGCACTTTGTGCTATTGCTAGGGCCTCATATTCTTCAGTCATGAGACAGAGAGACAAAGACAGAGAGACAGAGATAGACAGAGACAGAGAGAGAGGTGTGATAAAGCCTAATGGAGTCACCAGTCGTACTTAATATGATCCACTTAATATTGTAAGTAGATACATAGATATAATTAACAAGATAAAAGATGTGACAGGGTGAAAGATGTCTTCTTGTTTATTATTAAACGTAAAAAGCTAAGAATTAATTCCACTCACGTGGGTTTTAATGTCTAAATACATATATTCAAATCGCTTCAATCGAGTCAAATCACTGTAAAAAAAGCCATGATGGCATTTGTATTGCACTTTTCATCATCTACTAGTACAAGTACATTTATCAAAGCATTGTCCATCAATCGTAATGCAAGTAGTAAAAACCTCATTGAAATTCGCTACCAACGCTTACTCATAGCAATGGAGTGTTGCTAGATCTACTCAAAAGTCCAAACGTAAACGAGTCCATAATGCCAAGAATCTACAACAGACACAACACAATACACAACACACAGACAGACAGACAGACAGACAGACATCGATACCGAGTGACCTAGTGAGTATTTCGTCAAACAAGGTAGCTACGAAATGATTGCAATCACGCACTGTGAAAACGCCGCCCACAATAGCGCAAACACTTGTGAGGAATTGGAGAAAACCCACACGGTATTGCTCAATGCGGAACATGATAGGCGAAAATGTGTAACGAAACGAAACCACTGCAGTACACAATGACATGATTAGTTAGTCCATTGATCTATAGACCTGTTAAGGTGCTAGTTGCTAGCATATACATGAACGTACTCGGCAGACCCTTGTCACCCACAGGCGTAAGCTGGTGGAAGTGTTCCGTAGCAGAAAACTGGTTCGTGATGATACGACTTGCTGACAGAAAAGTGTATTCTGTTGGTACCACCTGATAACATGAAGAAACATCAATGCTAGTTCCATAGCAAGTCACGACAGAAATAAGATAACCTGTAAAAAGTACTGGTACGAGCCACGAGTCGATTTGTCTAATAGCTCCTTCTGACGATTGTCCAGCGGGTTTTTCATATTCTGTTTGCAAGCAACGCGACAAACTATCAGAAAAAAAGCTTCACTTTACAACTAATCGCAATGAAAAAACGAGTCAAGATCTTCTTACTGGATACGCTTCGCCGAAAGACAACGAGTGAATAGTGTGTGACGTGTCAAAGACCTTGAAAGTAGCGTCCACCAGATCCTGCGATGACAAGTATCCCGAGCGGAAGAACTTGGATGGAGCAAAGTACAGCTTGCCTGCAACCTGCGGAGAGAAAGAAAGAGGAGGTAAAACTTCAACTGTCCATCAAGTTAACCGACAGTCTCTACCAAAAAAAGCCAATACCTTGGAGACGACAAGAAAGCCTCGAATTCGACACCCTTCGTCCACTTCCCCGCGAAGAACCTTTTCAATCTCAAACTCTTGGCACTGCGCAATCGTGTGAAGACTCGGCATCAACCAGCTCTTTCGCGCGTACGCCTTCATCACTTCATCGCACGTATTGCAGCACTGTAGCAACACCAATTGACAAGCAACAACGTCAGTGTCAACCACTACCTAAGACGCTACTACTCTTCATCCAGTACCTCTCCTGGGTTCCCAGCAGAGTAGCAACTACCACACGTAGGCCTGTATCATCAATCAACCAGCCAGTCACTCAGTCACTCGTCTCGATTATTGTAACGTGTCTCATTCAAAAGTCCACATCCTTACTTGTCTGTTTTTTCATGTAAATCCGTATGATTCGTTAAAGCACCTCCAATCACATCACGCATTCCTTCTGCCAATGGTTCACCATCCCGATTTAATGCGGTTTTTTCAATATTATGCTCAATATTATGCTGTACATTGCCAGCCATATCCGATGACTCGAGTGCAACCACAGAGCAAGGCATTGTGGGAAATTCAATGTCAAAATTAATCGATACCATTGTATTACGTTTACCATCCACACCCATCTTATCAATGGTATGCATTGTAAAGTAATACTTTAATTCAGAAGCAAGAAGGAGCGAGATCAATGCAAACGAGAAGAGAGAAAAGAGACCTCCCTGTAAAGTACGGACTTTGAATTCTTCAATTGTTTTAGGATACGCATCTAATCCCTTCAGCTTTAACATCCATGATGATGATAGTGAGGAGTTTGCCATGAGAATGATTGACGAAAAGACGGAATGAATGCACTGAAAACTTTGTTGTGCCACGTAAGTACAGATAAAAATGTACTATACATTATTTTCGGAATTCATTGAAATCTGACGGTATCAAATTAAGAAAAATGACCGAAAATGGAGACTTATAAATGGTTGTTTTTGTTTTGAACTAGTTACAGTTTATACGATACAAAGTGGGGAATAAAATGTCCTTAAGTGCGGTTATTGTCTAGTTCAGTACTATAAATATCGCACGTCGAAAAGCAGAAGATAGTAGTCGATGACAGACACTACGCCACGTAAAACCTAACTTCACCTGTATAGATGTAGCACAATATTAGTACGAGCGATAGCTACGATTCAAATGTGTTGTCAAGTATATTCGACCGAGTGTATTTTCATTGCAACAACCTTTTCAATCATGTATCATTCCATCAGAAATATAAACAGTCTCTTCCTCCTGCTCCTACTCGCTTTTTTCATGCTCATGCGTCTTCATGTCAGCACATATTATAACCACGAGTCTCTCACTATAACCACGTCTCATGTTATTTCAAGACAAAAGCTATATTAAGACGTGGTTATAGGATGAGACAATCGTCGTTTTTGTTTCTCAAGTGGCTACATTTTGAAACAAACTTGAAGTAACGTCGTTGTTTCGTCTCCACAATTGCACAAAACCAGGTCATAAAAGAACAGTACAGAGTTACATCTCACTTACAAACTTCAAGATAAAAATAACCCCATCAGAACTTTCACGTCAAGTCTTGGTCGTCTTTATTAGATGGAGTCTCTCCGTCGTCTTACAAGCTCTGTCTTTCGTGACAATACGACCCTTGATACGATGAAGCATGATAACGAGTCATCTACTCTTTATTCACTTTGTGAGTTAAGTACTATTACAAAACGACTGATTCTTGTTGGAATGCCTCATGATGGAGCAACGAATAAGAAATACAATGTTGTCAATGTTGATGACCTAATCACGTATTTAGATACATTGTATGCTAATCATTATATGTTTTTTAACCTTAATACACTTGAAAATGTGACAACTGTGACTGCATCAGAAGTTGGAGACGTGTCGGTATCAGATGAAGAAAAAACAAGAAGGATGATGATGAAGAAGAAGACGTCGATTGTTGATAAATTACATGAACAAATACTTGAATTTGATTGGGAACGAGATGGAATGAAAGCTCATACACCGCCATTGGACCTTATCTTTCGTATTTGCTATGCACTCGATGCTTGGTTGTCACTAGACGTGAAGAATATCGCACTGATTCATTGTCGAACGGGTAAAACCAGAAGTGCTGTCGTCGTAGCCTGTTATCTCCTCTATGCACGATTAGCGACTGACCCAATCGATGCCTTTGCCGAGTTTTACAGGAAACGATGGGATCAAAACTCACTCACGTCTCAAGCATTACGGAATAAAACACCACCGTCCATTCAAAGGTTTCTTGCAAGCTTTTACCAACTGCGGACTACGCACAAGCCGCAAAATGACAAACCGTTGTTGCTCAAGGCCATTATCTTTCGACAGCTGCCGGTGGAACTACAGCCCTGTGTGCAGATTTGGGACGATTACAAGCGTATCTTTTGTACAGACGATGCACTTCGTCTTGGAGAGAGTGGAGAAGTGCCTGTGCTGGACTGGAATGAGGAAGACGGATACTTTGCTATTCTGTGGGAAACTGGCGTCGAATTGGATGGAGGGTTTTCTGTCCTGTGCTCGTTTGGAGAGGAATATGACCGTGTAGACGACGTAGATGCGTCCTTGCGAGTACTTTTTCGGTACGTGGACTCGACGCTGTTTCTCATGCCGGGACTAGTCACGCTCAAGAAACACGATCTAGATATGATGAAGCAATACGAACATGGATTTGATAAAGGTGACTTCTCGGTTGATCTGCTATTGCACGAAAACAGCTCCAAGAAGCCGCGCAGTTTGGTGAGGATGGACTATTCGGGAAATAGCGCAGTGCGCCAGGGTCTGACAGAGATTACTAAGCACCACGTCGTTTTGCCAGATCCCGCTATGCACTCGAACTTTATTCGCATGGGATTCTGCGAAACGCCTACCACATTCGCACTGCAATGCTCCCAAAATACTCCGAATGTGGCGCTAGATCTATTACATTCCAAAGAGTTGTTCGCCTATTTCGTGCAAGAGGTAATGGAAAGTGCAGCCAAAAATGACGTAGAAGAACCTGCCAAGTGCAACCAGAATGTAGACTCACCAACTCATCATGATTGTCGACCCTTACTTCGTCGTCATACGACGGCTGAAGTTGTCGCCATGCAGTCTCAACGGTCACGATATTCAAGCACAACAACAGCAGAATTATCGGTGTGTGATACGTGCAAGAAAGACGACTACTTGATGCGGTCTCAGATCGTCCAGTGCGTGGGTCGATGCAGGAAAAATTATCACACGACGTGCGTGGGGCTGCGAAAGATTCCATTCAGTCTAACGACTATGAGTGATCGTACCAATCATGATGTATACGTGAAGAAGTTTTTCAGTGCGTGGGAATGTAATGCCTGCGCTCCGAAGTCTTCTTCCTTGGCTGTAGACCTTTGCGGTCGAGAAATTCCGTCAAACATGAAACCGGTGCCCTCTTATTCGGTTGGCAGAGTACCCGGCACCTCATTTTCTAATACCCAAGATGTCGTACATATAGGTAATGTGCATGATAGTCTGTCCGTCGCTATGGATGGGAAACATCAAATGGCTTACGGTGCAAATGGTTCAGAAGAGTTTGATCAGCAGAGAAAAGTTCAGGTGAGGAACGGGTTATCAATTGAGGACGTATCGAAAGTGGAACCTAGTCCAGGCACTACGATTGCATCAAGAGCGAACGCAAGTCTTTCATCGACAACCTTGACTGTTACTACGCGGCCTGGACCATCCAAAATAGATACGAAGACTGCACTTTGTAGTACGTTGAACGCTGCAAAAAAGTCAAGTGATGCGAGTGAAACGTCTTCTGCAAAAAGTGTGGACAAGTACACATTAATGCTGAAGCGAGGTGTTCCGTTTGAGGCAGTCCAAAACTGCATGCAGAAGGACTTGGTAGATCCGTCGACGCTGAAAGCTCTGGCCAATACAAGTGACGTTAGCAGCGCACATGAACCATCAAAGAGACGAAAAGGTACGTTGAAAGATGTGGAAATGTTTTCTAGCTACTTTCGAATGCTGCGGATGGGATGTCCGAAAGAAGCTGTGAAGCACAAATTAATCATGGATGGATACGATCCAATTATTCTGAACCTTGGTCCCGATGCCATTTCTGACGAGGTGAAGGATCAAATCGCAATCAAGCAGAGCGTTTCGAATCTTCAAGATGACATCAAATGCGTGAAGCCGTCTACAGATGTAAACATGAAGAGCGCTGAATCTGAGCTTTTACTGAAGGACCATAAGGTGTACGCCAAGTATTTTAAAATGTTGAAGTTGGGATTGTCTGAGGATGCTGTTCGCCATAAGATGAAAGTGGACGGTGTCGATGTGTGCGCGTTGGACTTGGGTGGTAAAGCACCTATATCAAAGCTGCCGAGAACTGCAGAGAAGGAAGCACCAGCCGCAACAGTGAATGATGTAAGGCTAAAAGATGATCCAAAGTACGCTAAATACTTCAAGATGCTGCTTATGGGCTTACCAAAGGATGCTGTCAGACAAAAAATGAAGGCTGAGGGTGTTAATGAGCGGGCCTTGAATCTTGGCGGGGATGCACTAGTGTCACAGCTGGTTGGATCGTTTAGTGGAAGCAGTGTCAAATTACAAGATGATCCGATATATGCCAAATTCTTTAAAATGCTGAAGATGGGAATTCCCAAAGGCGCTGTCCACCAAAAAATGAAATCTGAGGGTATTGATGAGCGTGCGCTTGACCTCGGAGGCAATGCTCTTGTCTCGGATTTAGTTGCTCCAAGAAATGATGTTAGGCTTCAAGATGATCCAGTCTACGCAAAATATTTCAAGATGCTGAAAATGGGACTTCCTGAGGGTGCGGTTCGACAAAAAATGGCAACGGACAACATTGATGTGCGTGCATTGGAGCTCGGTCCCGACGCCACTGTTTCGCTTTTGGATTCTGATGGGAATGCTAAGGGTGCAAAAGATGCAGCGGTAAAACCCGAACGTATACGTAAGAAGCTACACTGGCAAGCTATTTCGGAGGAACGATTAAGCAATGTGAAGCAGCAAACAATTTGGGAAGACGAGGACGACGATGTTGATTTTGATATGGATATGGACGAACTTGAAGCCCTCTTCTTCACGAATCAGAACACAGGTAATGTGAAGAAAAGTTCATTACGAGGTGAAAGCAAAGTTTTGAAGTGCAGGCAAACCGTAACACTAATTGACGGGAAGCGCGCAATGAATGCTGCCATCTCCTTAGCCCGAGTGAAGCTTGCGTACAGGGAGATTGCCGAAGCAGTGGCAAAATTCGATCCAAGTGGCCTCACAATCGAGCAAGTTATTGGAATTAATGATATCTTGCCAACTTCGGAGGAAGCGGCAATAGTTTCTGAATACACCGGAGATACGACGATGCTAGGCGAGGTACGTCCTATCGGTCATGTGGAGGGTGCTTTTGTTCAAATACTAACAGTATTCTTGATTATGTAAATGACAACTAGGCTGAGAAATTCATTCTTGAGATTGTTAAGGTCAAGCGCTATGGACCACGGATGGAATGTTTGGTGCTTAAGATTTCTTTTCCGTACCGGAGTGCCGATCTGGCTACGTCGCTGTCACATTTACAAAATGCTAGTGAGGAAGTAAAGGGTAGCCGCCTACTAAAAACTTTGCTAGCGGTGGTACTCAAGCTGGGGAACACCCTGAATGGAAGCGCAGAGGAGAATGAGATAAGAGGGTTTACTGTCGACTCACTGCTCCGTCTAGGTCATACCAAAGCTATCAACCAGAAGACGACGGTGTTGCACTATTTGGTCCGGCTTGTGAAAAAGAATCACCCACAGGTTCTTGACTTCCAGGCTGAGCTGCAAAGCGTTCCTCTTGCAGCACGAGAGTCTTTTGAAACGATCGATAACGAGTTCAAGAAGCTAAGGAAGGAACTGGCGAGTTTTAACACGGAGCTAGGACTGTTAGAAAAGGTTTGTGGAAACTAGGCTGTCAAGTTTGGGGAGTAGCTAACAACATGTATGTTTGATGGTTGTTGAATATGCAGCAAGCGGATGAGGCGTTAGAACTAGAAGTCGTCATTAAGTCGATGCAAAACGCTGCTGCTGACTTCGAGGCACGAATGAAAACAGTCAGTGAAAGGATAGACTGTGCAAGAGAGGAGGTTTCAAGTGTACTCGCCTACTTTGGAGAAGACCCAAAGCAAAGTTCGACAGAGTTTTTTACCACCCTTGCGTCGTTTTGCACGGTGCGTTGTCTTTAACATGCAGTGTCTGTGGAAGTACCATAACGAATGCTTTGTGTTATGTAAAACGTACTAGATGTTTCAACAAGCACGGAATGTAGTCGACAGCGCGGACGAAGCTGCACAACGAGCGGAGCGTTTGAAGATGCGTCGATCAAATTCAGTTAGACCACTAAAGTTCAGCAGCGGGCCAAGTTTGAAGGTATCTCGTTTGATTCTAGAGCGTCCTCAAAGTGACCGCACCGCTGAAAAGCGGCATTGCGATGATAACTAATCGATGAACCACGAGGTTTGATTTTTGGTTTGCTTTATTATACGTCACGTTACTTTGAGTATTCTTCTCGACTGCGCGCACACGAGGACAGATGCACGCGTCTTGGTGAAAAATATCTACCGCCATCCGATCGACTTTGACTTGGCACGTTTTGCAGGAGTTGATGCAACCCTCCTCGTTGGCAACGTCATCGAGGCAGTCCGGGCTGCCGCAAGAACCCGCACCGCTCCTCCAACAGGACTGCAACGCGAACAGAACGAATCAGATCATGGCAGTGAGCAACAAGGAGACGTTTACGCAAACTTACACCCGAGACACACTAGCTGTGTTGAGCTCACGAGAGGGCAAGGATGAAGAAGACGACGATCCAATGACTGCTCCAGACAAATCAAATGAGACTTGCTTTAACGTCATTGTGGTGTTGTCACCACCTGAACCATTCACCCTATTCTCCATGACATTGTCTTCGGTGCCACGCTGCCTTTTCCTTTTCAAAATACTAACCAACAAGCGCATGTCAGTTGATACGGTGAGTTCACGAACATCGGGTCCATTCATTCATTACCTGCGAACTTTTTCCGCTGCTGATGGTCTCTTCCGTTTCTGAGTTTTCACAGGAGCCCCAACCTTTTGATCTAAGGCCGACAAGCTTAGCCGCCGCGAGAAATTCGTCGGGGGAGAGATTCCACTTGGCTTGCCAAGACGTGTCGTCTTGACCTCTGCTGTCTCCGGCGATGATTCGTTGCCACGCAAAATATTTTCCGCAACGTTCTCGATACCATTCAGCCCCTGATCATTAGCCCTGCTCACGCATTGATTACAAAATACGAATTAGTTGCATACATCAAGCGAAGAGTAAGCATCGAGTGCTGCAACACGTCGATCTGCTTACTTTCGAGTGTATAGACTCCACCTTCGCGCAGAGACCGGGGGCGGCAATTGTGGCGGTGATGGGGTCCGCATCTGTTGTAAAATCCTCCTAGCCTCATCCCCCTTGGACCTGCGACGATGTCCCTCCTGACGATACTCTGCCAGTCGTTTCTCGTACTTCTTTCGTAGCTCTAGCTCTGCAGTTAATTTTTCTTGGAGAGCCTGAATCTGGGAAACTTGATTGGCAACCTGAAGGAGGTAGCAACAAAAGAGTGAAATCAAAATTCTCGGTTTACCAGTCAAGACGCATAATCTTACCACCCCATTCAGTCGTGTAATTTCAGCGCGCTCTGTACGTTGCGACTTTCCCATCTGAATATGACTGACACGCGACGCAAACTTGAGGGAGTTGATAGTTTCGTTCACATCTGCGCTTTTCGGACTCACGTGTACGAGTAGAAGCGTGCGATTGGCACAACCACTCAACGAATCCTGCAACAAATGTGTAAGCTTCGAGTTCCGGAATGGAATATGTTTTTCCTTCGCAAGCAATGCTGACAATACGTCATTGATTGCTGCCAGCGATTTGTTAATGTACTGCGATTCGCGCACGGTGAGCGCAGGCGTATCTGCCGTCTTTGATAGCCTTTCCGAGCCTGCTAGATCCACAAGCACTAATCTGCCTGTATCTGTCTCTCCATTTGCCTTGCTCGTTCGTCGAATGTTGATCATTAGCACTGTGTGGGAGCGATGACTACGGTCATTCTTAGTCGCCATGCGACTACTTTTACTTCGAGCAATAGCGTCATGAAGTTCCTTGGCACTTGGTACATCAAGTGACTGGACATTCTTCAAGTAGACTCCATTTTCTCCATGTCGGATCTCCACCGTCGATGTCGTCATGTTGCTGGCCAAGTTGCCGCAAATGCTCGTAGTATTAACATGGCAGCCACTAGGTGATCCTCTGTCTCCTGAACCTGTGATAGTAGTAGCAGTATTTGTCGTCGTCGTACTAGTACTAGTACTAGTAGCGTTGTTGCTACTACTTGGTTGACCCAAGAGGTCGTATATCTCTTCATTATAAATCTCCACCATCTGAATCTGTACTTGAAAATCATAAACGTCTTGTTGCTGTTCGACTGTATGGTAAATAACTTGAGCTGCTCTGTAATAAAGTCCCTTGTCATGGTCTGATCCTTGCATTGTATATGTTTTTCCGGCTCCCGTCTGTCCATAGGCAAACACACAAGCGTGATGACCTGCTAGAGCCAAGTGAACAAGTGGTGCCACTTCTTGAAATACTGTCAATTGGGAATGTTGTTCATGAAAGACACGAGAGAATGAAAAGCTTTTATATAATGCCCCATCTACAGGTGAATAGACACTTAATTTCTGGATTGAATCCACTTGTACACGCTTCTGACAGTGACTGGGACTTGTGACATCCGTCGCTTCACCACTGGCAGTTCGCAAAGCCACTGGCAATGGTCGTACACGACATAGCACACGTATATGACCCTGTAGTTCCGTTACTTGTGTTTCTAATTGACCACGAAGTGAACGTTCATGAGCTAACGCATTCACTGACGTCTCTTGACGTTGTCGACTGCGTTCTAGAGCAGCTACGAGCTCAGTTCCTAGACAAGTAAAATCACGACTACATAAGCGAAAGGAAGTGGCAATATCTTGTTTTAGAGATAATAAACTGGTACGTAATTGACATGTTAAGGTACGTGATGATATTGTCTTTATCACGTTGTTTGTCATGGAAAGAAAGACGTGTAGGACGTGATAAGAGAGAGAGAGAGAGAGAGAGAGAAGAAGAAGAAGAGAGAGAGAGACTTGGTAGATAAATGTGGAGTTTAGACTATGGATTTTGAAAAAGCGCGCCAAAGTTTAGAGGTCGATTTTGATTTTTTTACTTTGGGTATTTTGAAAACATGCATGTTTATAGGTTCGTTTTGTGTGGATGGGACGGTATGATACCGATCTTCGGTACGTGAGCTCTGGTAATAAATACCGGTATTTTTAAAGCCGGTTTATTTATACTTGCTGAGATTTTAGACCTGTCATTAGTTTCTCCTATGCACATAAGTGTCACTGCTTATTGTTATGAGAAGTACATGAGGTGGATATAACTAACAGCGTGACTTGCACAAGTTTACTGTTGTTGTTGTTGTGTATATGCAGTTGATTACGATAAAAAAGGATGGTGTTGACACATTCTGCCGCATGTGATTGGTGGGTTAAGAAAACGATACTTGGTACTGTCTACGTGTACAAGATATATATACCCGCCAATCAAATAAGAGTATTACAATTGTACGACATTTCATTTCTAAAAAACCAAGAGACGGTCGTAATTTCTTAATGTCCAGAGCCGAGCCGAATCAGTTTCATCTCAATTGGCGTGCGCTCGCCCTCGTCTCCGTCTCTTCGTGTGCATTAACTGCTATTAGTATCTTTTTTCTTTTCAATAGGCATCACTTTCGATCTTCTTCTCGATCTACACACGATTGTAAGCGACGCAATCAGTATTTAACTGTGTCGTCTATTCACTCGGAAGATATAAAAGATTTAAACGATTTAGAAAAAGAAAAGATGTTGGACGAAGGTAACACAAGACACTAAATATCGTGAGGAGAGTGACGATAGAAGGAATCTTACCGCGGTATTTCGACCTTGTGTGTTGCGACTTGATGAGGTTTAGTAATCTACCTGAATAATGCACATTCGTGTCTGGATTATGTGGTGGGTGCTAACGACGTCGATGAGTTTGATGGTGCCAAGTTTGTGGTCAAGCAGATTTGTTCGGACTGGTGAGAGACGTCTTGATGACGGGTTGAGGTTTGACTGAAGATCACTCAACAAAATGTTCATTGTGTTGATAGGAAGGACGCAAAGAATGACGACATGTTGGTCAAGATTATCGTAGGTGGTATCACTAACCGCCTCTATCGTCTCATATGGAAGGACAAGGTACGCTGCTAAGAAACCGTATGCTATAGATAAATGACGTGTGGCTCTGGCTGATGCTCTTTGCGTGTAATTGTGTGCTGCAGTCGGTGCTTGTACGTCTCTACGGAGACCACACGGATGAGTTCATTGACCGCAACTTTGAGAACAGTACGGTCATTTTGTCGTTGTCGTTGTCGTTATGGAGGTGTTTCAAAGTCATTGTACTCATGTCAGCTTCTGTTCTGGTGTTGCAGTGCTATTTGCCTTGCTGTCAGAGCGCGGGTTTGCCCCTACGTACTACGGTCGCTTCAAGAATGGCCGCATCGAAGGCTGGCTGGACGCAAAGCCGCTGGACCCTAAAATGATGGGCCAGACCAAGCCCGTTAATTACCTGCAGATGATTGGCAAAGAACTGGGCGTCATGCACGTCATGGACATCCCGGTGGAACGTGTGCCTGTGCTGTGGACCAAGATTGAGCGGTTTGAGAAGCTGGCGAGGGAGCTTAAGTTTAAGGATCCGGTCAAAAATGCTGCATTGGAGAAAATGGACTTGGCAGGATTGTATCAGAAGCTGCAGTGGCTTAAGTCGGCGCTGCCATCGAACCAGAATCGAAATGGTAAGGACCTGTTGGACGCTCTCAACACGGACGCGATATCAAAACAGGCGGAGGCTTTTGCGTCTGACGTCGTGTTCTCTCACAATGATTTGCTGAGCGGTAACATTCTGCACAACCCAGACTGGGATCGTGTGCGAATTATCGACTACGAATACGGCGGCTACAACTACCGTGCGTTCGACTTCGCCAATCACTTTTGCGAAAACTGCGGTTTTGACCTGGACTTGGCGCAGTACCCGAGCATTGAGAAGCAGTTTGCGTTTTTTAAGGCGTATATGAGTTCGGCAGCACCCACAATGCTGACGGAACTGGAAGCTAACCGTGAGTCCAAGGCATTTTTCCATGCGTTTTATGACGTGGTGAATCGCTATGCGCTTGCTTCACACATGTTTTGGGGATACTGGGCGCTTGTCCAAGCAGCGCACTCGAAGATTGACTTTGATTTCTTCGGGTATGCAGCAAAGCGTTTCAGTGCATTTGACGTGCATCATAGCTTCTTCGTCAAATCTAATTAGCTATCGTGCATTTCAATAAAACAGCAACGCTGCGAGCTGTAGCAAAGGCAAAACCATGTAAACGGCCTTTACATTCCGCAATAAAATACCTTGACTTCCCTTCTACCGCTAAATATATTAACGTACACGTTTACTGCAAAAGGCTTGTGCAAGATGCCATGTATCCTTGATTGACTTACCTTCATCGTCCTGGCGGCACATATGTTTATATCCTCTGCCATTGTTGATTTCGATCTATAAACATAGCACAACTTAGCGCTTGCGCTTAACATCACCCGCAGTCTCGAGGCTCATATCAAACGCAGGCAAGTTTTCCAAAGATGTTGACTCACTGGTCTTCTTAAAGTAGCGATTGATAATCACCGGGGGTTTGTCAGTCAACGTGAGGCTCAGTTCCACATGCATACGACCTCGTGGATCAATCGTGCGCATATCCTTGAGTACACCACGAAATCCAGAGAGTTTCGTAACTGTCTTAATCTGTGTCGCGTCACCCGTGACCGTAATAAGGTTGTTCTTCACGTTAACTTCTTGTCCAAACTTTAGCTGCTTGGTCTCTGTAAAGATGCGCGTACGTCTTGTAATTACAAAGTCTCCAGGTGTCTGATTAATAATTACCATAAGGTCCAATTTATCAGCAGCTTGACGAGCAATCAATGGCAGTCCCATGGCCTCTAAATAATCATTCGTCGAGTCTGAATCTTCACGGTCAAGTGACCAGCGACCGGATAACTGTAGTGCACCAGCTCCTGCCGTATTATGTACAGCAGAAGATACAGCAACACTGGATGTCATGACATTACTTCCTGTCACTGGAATAGCGGGCTTAAAGGCGGCACTACGGACGTGACTGAGATTCATTTGGGCCGTAGAGACATTCATAGGTACAGTGCTGGACTGTACAGTAGCAGATCCAGTACCATTCGATCGAGATGGTATTGCCATTGAGTTACCTACAACACTTGTAGCATTAGCTGCATGGAGGTTAGACGTGTTCTTTATTTGATTCATATTCATTATATAAGCAAGGAACCACAGGTAGAGAGAGAGCGTGTGAAGTACAAGTATGGTTTTCTAAAGGTCAAATTGCTGCTACGGTTACTTCTGATCAATTGATTGGTTGATATTAAGAATCACTTGCTTCTCTCCTCAAAGTAATATTAATAGAATCAGACATTTTTAATGCTTAACATTTTAGCATTTTAAACCTAAAAAAACAACTGAAGAGCTTTTCATTTTGAATAAAACCACTTTTACTTGGCAATCGAACAAAAGTTCTGAAGTGTACGTAAAAGCCCTGGTGCCTGATATGGTGTTGTTGTACCCAAGAACGTCATCATACGCTCTAGACTAATGACACCCATGAGTTTACCCGATCGTGTAATAAACACATTATTAAATTTGAGCATACGAAAAAGCATATCCACGCGACGCATTGGTGTCATCTCCATGAGTTGAAAAGGTGATGGATCAATTAGTACCGTCAACTTGGACGGATCACATACTTCATTTGTTACCCAATTCATGACCTTACCACCACGTCTGAAGGCAAAATCAATGGGTGATTGTAGTAACTGCGTCGGAAACTCAACAAAACCATCCTCTGCTTCGTCATCATCGAACTCGTCACTTTCATCACCGTGAGATGTTGAATCCATGGACCCATACGATCCTCGAACACTTACTGGAATTGAAGCGCAAGAGCTAGAATTGTAGCCAGTTGTCCTTATAATGGTAGGAGTAGTTGATAAAGGTGTGGTTGGGAAAAGCAGCGAAGTTGCAGCTGTTGCTGTGGCTTCCACGTGTGACGGTTGCCTCAGATCTACAGGCTTGAACGGGATATGGCCTTGGCAACGCGAAACAGCGTAGGAAAGACGAGAACGAGTGACTGTAGCCAAGAGGAAGCGATTATTGAGCGAGTCTACAATCGGAAATACAGGCTCCATGTCGGAGCGCTGTAGCAGTATAAATGCGTCTTCATAAGTCGAGTCAGCAGTAAGCACTCCTATTTCAGCCACGTCCTTCATCACCTCCCAAGCTGGAATGTCATAAGCAGCCTTTGGCAGCTTTTTCAGTCGAGGCAAATTACTCGTTACAATGAGGATATCGTAAGCGCTTTTGGTAAATCTCTTGGCCGTAAAGTACGCTGCTAGAATCGCCACAGACACAGGTAGGTTGAGGCCGTCGGTGTGTGAAATCTCCATGATAATAACAGCGGTAGAAACAGCATGCGTCACACCGGAAGAGAAAGCCCCAGCACCAATCACTGCAAACTCAAAAGGCGCATAGTTGGTACTCATGAGATCAAAAGCTCGTACGGCTTCACCAACAAGTCGGCCAAAGATGCCACCAATGACGAAAGTGGGGGTGAATAAACCAGCTGGCACAGGTAGCACAATGCTTATAAGCGTCAGCACATACTTAAGCGGAAGAAACGTCAGCAACGATCTTGAAAGCAGCAAACTGTCCGCTTCAGTACTTTCTCGAGCACGGTCGTCGGCAAAAATTTGCTTGTCTTTTGAGAAAAGCGCGTCAAGAATCCGGCGAGGAGAGCCGTGCCGCAGAAACCATGCACGGTCTCCATAAAACTCGAGCCAACAAGAGAGCAAGGTTACAGCTAACACAAGTCCCACTCGCTTTCCAACAGCATTCCACCAAGTTGCACGAGGTGAATTTGACACCGAGGGCTGGAAAAAGTGATCACGAGCACGCACCAATATGGACAAGGAGTGGTTGAAAAGAGCACCGCCAAGACCGCAAACTATACCCATGAGCGCAAAAACGCACAGGTCAGCAAAAGAGGGCCCACTGCTTCCATTTACATCGTCAGTATCGAAGAAAATTCCCATGCTTCGGTTGCCAAAGAGTCCATGTCGTGTGTTGGCACCACCAAAGTCCACTAGTAACGCGCCTACGATAGCTGCGAAAAATGAACGAGGCAGTGTCCGAACAAGATAAAAGTGCGACGTTACCTCAACTCCAAAAAGCACGCCTCCAAAGGGGGAGCCAAACGTAGCAGAAACGCCAGCAGCACACGCACATGCCAACATCTCCAAGCGCTTTGTATCGTCATCGCGAATGCGGCGGAACGGGCGCCAATTCATCAGCACACTGGCAAACCCACACGAAATCATGATGAATGGGCCCTCTTTACCAATTGAGAGTCCTGCACCCAATGCAGCCATCAACCCACCTATCTTTGTAGCAACACATCGAAAGGACAGGTAGGGACTCATCTCGATGCCCGAAATGGCCACTTTCATGAATGGTAGACCTGATCCTGCGGCTTGTGGACACACACAATGGGTCAGAAGCGCCGAGAGACCCCCAGCAAGCAAAGCTGACGCCGCAAACAGCCCAAAAGCTTGGCTGCCCACCCATTTATGATATCGCGCGATCTCGATACTCCACATGTCAATCGCTAGCCCGATGCTTCCTGCAAAGATGCCAATAGTAATCAGTAGCAGTGGACTTTGCACCAGCACGAACAAGCCATGTAGCCCTCTTGGGTAGTTAGCTACATAGGTCGAGTGCAGTCCGCCATTAAAAGCGAGTGCTTTCCTGTATGTTGGTTGTGCCTTCTCAGTGGTCACCAACCGAGGTAAACCTATCGAAGGAACTACATTGGAGGGAACGTGCGGCTTTGGTAGAGTCTGTACTGGCTGATAATGATGCCAATGTGAGGGAGACTCGCGGTCTAGGAATGGATTCATGATTCTATCCATAACGCTATTGGCTCGCCGCCAGGGCGACAAAATTCGCGGGGACGATGAGTGACGGCGGGGGTGCACAACATTACTATTGGGGCTGGTCCCGCCGAAGCGTGGTCGCACAACCGATCCGATTCCGAAAGAGACCGAGGAAGAGCGTAGCCGCTGATTATTACTCGTCATGCAGAGTAGAATGAATAGCAACGTAAGTAGAGAGCTACAAAAGATAGTGGAAGGCGTAAGGTGGGATTGAGCAAGATACAAAATGAGACTTGCCAGTCGTTTCAACCTTCACCGTCTAACAATAAAAAAAAACCAAGCTGATTGGCTCAATGAATAATGAAACAAGGCTTCGTAATCCACCTATAACTGCTTCTTTATCGGAATAGTCGATTCTGATCGATCGGGATTCTTTCTGATCGATGGGTCTAGTTAGTTGGTCGTATCTGATTATTGCTCACGCAAATTGAATGTCAAATCCTAGCAAAAAAATCCGATATAAGGCTCAATTGATTGAAAATGTCTCCATTCCAGTACGTTTCGAAAGATAAAGACAGATACATTTTTTATCAGTATATGTCAAACTTAAAACAGTACAGCGATCTATTACGTTTCACAGGTTGTTTTCCTTTACTCAACAGACGGTATAATTTATAACAGTAGTCCTTCAACAAAGGCGCATTATTCGACAGCCAAAAATGCACGCGATGAAGACAAGGCAGGAAGAGGAAAAGATGCAGCAGAAGAAGAAGAAGAAGAAAGAGGACAAAGAGGTAATGTATGAGACGCATAAAGGAGAAGAAAAGCAAGAAGAGAAACTTCAGGTACCAGTTGATGCAGCAGAGCTGGAACTAAAGCCAAAGGTAAATGAATTGACTGGCTCCATCAGTGCGGACTAGAGTGATGGTCATGTCAGTTGAACCTCATGTGCAAGTTGTTTGTCGATAGCGATGGAAGGAAGCGCTTATGCGAGCTGTACAAATAATGATAAAAGAAAGACACAAGTCTTTCGAAGGTACCAAGCTCATGTCGTTCGTCGACGTGGTGCAGGCGGCAGCTGCTTTTGACCGCAATGGTCGTATTCATATGGACTTTGATCAAGACGACGATCGCTACGATATATCAAGATTGCAAGAGAAAGCCAAGAAATTTGAGGACGAGTCCATGCGTGTCACACGTCAGAGTAGTAGAGCCGATTACGACGTGCCCATTATGACCATCTGTCTTATGGTTGTTGGTACCCATGGAGATGTGCAGCCATTTGTTGCCATTGCCAAAAGACTTATCATTGATGGTCATCGTGTACGATTGGCTACCCATGCAGTATATCGTGATTTTGTCATGAGCCACGGTGTCGAGTTCTATCCATTGGCAGGAGACCCCAAGGAGCTTTCAGCCTACATGGTCAAGACAAGTGGCCATCTCATTCCTTTGAACGTGGAAGCGATTCAAAAGGACGTACCTCGTAACATGCAGATGATTGAGGAGATTCTCTACTCAACATGGCCCGCTGTAGCCGAAGCAGACCCGGACGGCGGAGGTCCTGGCATCCCAGGAAAACCTTTTCAAGCACAAGCTATTATTTCGAACCCTGTCACATACGGTCATATCCACGTCGCGGAACGACTCGGTGTGCCGCTTCACATTATGTTCCCCCAGCCGTGGGTGCCGACGACAGCGTTCCCACATCCGCTGTCTAACATGCCGTATACCGGAAAGCCTAAAAAGGTAAACTACATGTCGTACAAGATGGTCGATCTACTCATGTGGCAGGCAACCGAAGGAATGATCAATGCGTTTCGTAGAGATAGGCTGCAGTTGCGCAAAATTCGCAAGGGAGACGGTGGCCGCGATATCCTACTAGACCTAGCCGTCCCTCATGCTTTTATGTGGAGTCCGCATCTTGTGCCGAAGCCAAACGACTGGGGCAAGATTTACGATATTACCGGAACCGTCCTATTGGAAGGATCCGATTCCACATATACACCTACGCCAGAACTTGAGGCTTTCCTCGGTCAGGATGCAGGACCCATTTTTGTGGGCTTTGGATCCATGGTCATTCAAGACCCAGTGGGCGTCACAAAGATGATTATCGAAGCGGCAACTCGGGCGGAAGTTCGTGTACTGATTCAATCGAGTTGGAGCGACATGGCAGGAAATCTCACGATTCCAGACAACATTTTTTTCTTGGCAGTTGTCCTCACGACTGGCTTTTTCCGCGTGTGTCAGCGATTGTGCACCATGGCGGGGCAGGTACTACGGCAGCCGGCCTGCTTGCTGGCAAACCTACTTTTATTGTGCCTTTTTTTGGAGACCAGCCGTTCTGGGGCCGTGCTGTGTTTGATGCTGGTGTTGGTGTGCACCCTTGTCCAGTCTCCCGACTGACAACAGAGAAAGTTCAGGCTGCATTTGAGGCACTGCAGAGCCCACAACTTCGTGCACGTGCAAGCGCAATGCGGAACCTTATGCGACAAGAGAACGGTGCAGGCGAAGCTTTGAGATGTTTCTACCGCAATTTGCCTCTGCATCACATGCGTTGCGAATTGGACTGTGGCCGGGCTGCAATGCTATGGAGCCAAAAGGACAAAATTCGCTTGTGTGGTGAGTGCGAATCTGTAGTGACTTCCCGTCTTGAAAATTCACCGACGGATATTGTGGAGTACAATTACGTCGACTACTCACCGCGCGGTCCAGAGAATGTTATTGAGGGCGCTTTTGCTGGTGTGGGCGCGTTAGCTCACGTATTTGGATCGGGTTTTAAGGACATAATTGTCAAGCCCGCGCAAGGTTATCGCGAAGTGGGGGCAAAGGGTGCTGTGATCGGTCTTGTAAAGGGGTTGGGTGGGCTTATAATCAGCCCGGTGGTAGGCACGTTAGTGTTTGCTGACCACCTTGCAACCGGGGCCTATAATAACGTCCGAGGAGATGATGACAAGAGGGGTTCGCTCATCTCAGACAACAAAAAGTTGCGAAACGCGTTGGGATTCAAGACGCGCAATAATATACACAACGGGTCAATGAGTGCAGATGAAGTGGTAGAAACGAACAATCAATTATTGAAACAAATCTCTGTTCAGCTTACACCGACAGAGAAACGCAAGCTAGAAGGCAGATTTTACGCGCTCGTGAAGGAGCGCAAATTATGCAAGCAGGAATTGTTCAAATTGACGGAGACTAGTTCATCGATCTCACTTCGGTCAGAAAGAATGCATGATGATGCAGCTACTGTTTCGAATGTGGATGGGGCCGCTTTCAACGGCAGTGACTCGTTTCAGACTACATTTGGTGATGGCGGGAAGGTTGGCGAGGCGCTTCATCAGATTGAAGTGCAAGAATTAGCAGCTGAGGCTCACAGAGAGGGAGAAACGCAAATGAAACGTATGGAGAGTCTGGATAGCAAGCCGCTGCCGAAGATGAATATTTGTATGATGACAACAGGTAGCTGGGAAGAGAGCGTCCAGCAGTACGTTGCAATTGGATTGCGTCTCAAAGCGGACGGTCACTGCGTGCGTATTGCGACGAACAGTGGCCACCGGGACCGCATTGTAAGTGTTGGTCTTGATTTTTATCCACTTGGAGGAAGATCTATTACGATTGGCAAATTTCTACAGTACCTGCGCCAACGGATTCAGGATGAGCCACATCATAAATCCCGACTACTTAATTATGCTTGTGCGAAGTTGCGGTGGGAGTCGTTTCCAGAAATGGCTGATCTGCGTGAGCTCGTGTTCTCGCTTTGGTCAGCATGCGTGGAAGTGGATCCATTAGTGCCTGGTAAGGCTTTCCGCGCTGATGCCATCATTGCGCACCCGTATCTGTTTGGACAGTCCATCGTTGCCGAACGTCTTGGCGTGCCTTTACACTGTATGAGCTATAACCCGCAAACTCGCACTCAGGCTTTCCCTCCGCTTATCAGTTTTGACGTGAAGCTTCACAGACCATACCGATATATACCTGCGAATGCAGTGTCTTACGATGCGATCGACAATGTGTTGTGGAACAGTATACGAGATATCCTCGACGACTTTCGATATTTCCTAGGGCTCACCGGCAAGAGCATTGCGAATAATTTGCTTGCTGAATGGCACATCCCTCACACATACCTTTGGAATCCTGTACTTCTGCCAAAACCTAATGATTGGGGAAGTGAGATTACAATTGCGGGGTACGTTGCTATTGACAAGAGTGATGCTGAAGACACCAATCTCGCTGCCATCGAACAGGATTTACGATCATTTGCTGCGAGCGCTAGCACGCCCCTCATCTACTTTGGCTTCCAGTGTGTGGATTGGAATCTCCGCGGCGTACAGGATCTGGTTAGCACTCTCGAGAAGGCAGCTCAAAACGCAAGCGTCCGGCTTGTATTTCAAGGTTACGAGAACAACAACGACGATGCTGCGATTGTCGGGAGTGATACGAACGTTGTTACGAGTGTTGTTTTTGAGATTGACCGGCATTTTCCAGTAAATCGCATTCTTTCCCATGTACGTGCCGCCGTGCACTGGGGAGACCTTTCTATTACGTCGACATGCCTGTCTGCGGAAAAACCTGCTTGCGTGGTCCCTCGTAACATTACCCAACGAATGTGGGGCCAGGCGTTGGCTTTAGCAGGAGCGGGGATCGAACCGCTAGAAATTAATGCACTAACGCCGTCCAATCTTGTGCATGTATTCCATGAGCTTTTGGACCCCAAACTTGCAGACTGCGCCATGCGTCTTGCTCCTAAGTTTTCACCGTCAAACGCAATTGAGACTGCTGTATCAGCCTTTTACAGCAATTTACCGCTGGAGGGCATGACCTGCGACCTGGATCCTGCGCGTATTGCCCGTGTGTATGATTCAATGCACGAAATGAAGCTATCGTATGAGGCACGGCTTGTTGTGCACCAGATTACGAAGGATGAAGGTAGTGCGGAAGACCTAAAATACAAACCTCTCAAGTACTCGCAACACCATCCGCCGCGATTTGCTTTGCGCGAACTGGAGTTGCTTCATCCCGCCTCATCTCGCAGTCTCAACAAAAAGCTCAGAACTAAACATTTGTACACACACCATCCTGCCAATGAAGAAATGGCAGCGAGAGTGGAGCACAAACGTGCGTTACCGACTTCGCCTGCGTCATCGACGGAGTCGATCGTGTTAAAGAAATTTGGTGATATTCCACATAAGAGACACTTTCAATTATCCCGTGTCCAGTCTATGGCATTGAACGTGGTGGAATCGCCAAAATTCTGGGCTTCACCAGAGGAACAAGCGGAGAAAAGTCTTGAAATCAACGATAAGTATGAAAAGCTGCTTTTGGCACGCAACTCTATCACTAGTTCCGCAGCGTCAGTTGCGCGATAATGCGCAAATTATTTCGCCTCAATTCGTGAGAAACGCGCACATTCTTGTCGTGACGGATCCGTGTTTGTGAAATAGATTTGATTCAAATGTCTACATTGGTAGCAATGGCTATCACCTCATCCCTGCGATTTATGAACAAGAGCGGTTTGTCTTTGAAAAGTGCATGGTTTCCAGATATCTATCCAGACGTGATATTGTTGACTTCTTACAAGCTACACTTTTTTTGGAGCTTCAAACGTAATGTTATTCTCGAGAGCAGTTGGGTTCCAAAAATCATACGTGACTCACCTCGAAAGCTTTTCATGTATGTAAGGATATAAATCGCCATGACAAATCGAATCGATGAGAGCACGTTATGGCTTAGCCCTGCGATAGAGATCGGACTTTCATGTCCAATCCAAAACTTTTCCGTGTGAAACCAAATGCTTGCTTGAGCTACTCTCTCTTTGCATAAGATTGCGTCCATAGAGCTCATCTACCAAGAAATACATCATGGCAAAAGCAGCTTTTGACTGCCATACACGATAACTTGATTGTAATAGCGATGTTAGATTCTTGATGCTTACAAATTAAGATTCTTAATCTTTGGTTTCTTCGAATTTGCTAACTACAGAGAATACATACCAATATAGCTCAAAGATCAATTTAAACTCCGGTCGCTTCAACTAGATGACCATCATTCTTCTTCAACCTGTACCTCGAAATGTATCTCCCTCCTTTCAATGACGTTTATTACTATAGTGACATGTCCAGTTACTTCACTTACTACAATCAATAAACAATGCAGCAGCCCATGCGACGGCTCTTTTTACTTCCTGTAGGCGCTCTCTTCACCTTGTTTCTCTTCATCCAACTACTTAAGAAACAACATACAAGGGTTATAGTTGATGCTCATGCTGAACCTTCGGTCCCTATTCTTCTTACTGTAAGCTTTCAACGGATTGTTTTTTCTTTTCGTTCTCCAATGTCCGGGTTTTATATCCTAATTCTTTGTGTTTTTACGTGCTACAATAGGACAATGTACCTAGTACATTGAATACATTTGCTCAATATTTACCAATTGATCAACTTTACAGTTTTTTCAAGGTGTCTGAGATTGCTCAAGTCTTGAATGAAAGTCCCAATTGGAGTGCCATTGGTTTGGTTTTGGAAGAAGCTATTGTGGCCACTTTTCATTGTATTAAACTATGGGGAACTTTGTTTTTTCTTCTTATCGTTCCTATACTTCAAGCTCTATCAATAATAGGAGAAATGGTGCTTCCTCACATGCTCACGCTTGTGACAATTGGAGCTGACTACGTGAGCAAGATGGATCCTCTTTATCAAGCTCTGATGCTCCTTCTAGTGCTTTTTATATTTGTCTGTATACGTCGAGGATACGTGCACAAGACACGTTTGCTGTACGTGAGGACGAAAAGGAACATGGAGCTACGATATAGAGCTTTTGTGGCCAGTTTGAGTGCCAAATGGCGCATTGTGGCTATTCTTCTACCCCATTTGATGTTTTTTGCCTTGAGCTTTGAAGCTCTTTATTGGTTACCAGATGCAACGACAAACGTGTTAAAAAGTGATGCACTATTTAGACTGCTTTCGGTTGGATATCCACTACTGCACTCGATAGAAGTGATACGACAGAAGAGACTTTACCCCAAACATACCAAGTCAACTCCCTTATTTTCAAGATCCGGGCTTACGAGTAAAATGATGAAGAAAGCTGGCAAGATGAACATCCCGGACTACGAGTGGAGGCCTTACGAGGTATGTTTGAAGTACTGGGTCATCTGGTCTTTCGCGGTATGCCTCATTGGCATGGTAACGCTTTTCTTGCCAGCATTTGTGACCTCGTTCTTCACAGTGCCTCTCCATTGGTGCAACATTGTCCTGATTTGGATCCACTCGCCGTTCACTCGAGGCGGCATTGCACTTTACACTCTCCTGAGCCCCCTTATCAGTCCATACGCGAACCATGTTCATGAATACGAAGCGACGATTAACGCAGATGCAGAAGGTAAGACGAACTTTTTGATTCGCACTTTGGTATCGTTCCGCGTCGTACCAGAACGACATGTGCACTTGGCAAAGGACCTATGGTCGCAAGGCCCTGCGCTCTTTGGGCTCTTCTTTTTGTTTACGCCAGGATTTGTGGCCTCTCGAGGTTGTTCGCTGATGGGTTTTGGCTTTCCTGCCTATGTCACGATAGGAGTGCTAGGTGAAAAGCAAACACGGCGCTACGAGTGGTGGCTTGCGTATTTTAGCGTAGCGATTGCTGCAGATTACTTAATCACCGCACTCGGTCGAGAGATCGGGTGGCTCCCGCTGTTTTATCACGCAAAGTTGTTGGTGATGGTGTGGCTTCAATTTCCGTACTTTCAAGGTGCAGAACGAATTTTCAATGCAAGCTTTTCGAGCGTCTTTGTAGTTCCAGAACGCAAAGAGGATTAAGTGGATAATGTTTTGAGATGTTGAAGTGTCGGCCTTCAGGTGATGAAGCTGTGATCTTATTATAAGCTTTGCTAGCTTGCAGGGACGCCCCACATTCAGACAGCGTAGCTGCGCTATTGTTAAAGTGATATGGCGAATGGTGGTCCGTGCCACCTTTTGTAATTTGCTTGCTTAGAGCAAGCGTGTAGATAGCTAGGCACGATGAGTGGTCAATTACCGGTCCATGAAGCCAATCGGGTTTTTGTTACAATACTTACAGACTTACCAATACGTCACCTAAAAGAGCCGTCCGAGTGTCACGAGGCATATGCGACAGCTGCTAAAACTTCGACCCTTTTGACACCTCTATGTCTTTGTCAAGATGGTTCATGTCAGCACTTTTCATTACAAGTGGTCCTCAGCTACTGGAGATGAAAACAGTCTGTTGAAGTTTGTACTAGAGAATGGATCTACCAACACCTCTTTTCTGTGTGCTGGATTCTGGAAGCGTGCTTCACACCGATTTTGGCACTCCAGACCTTAAGCAATCCACCCAAGCATTATGTGGGAGCTCTTATCCGTAGAATTACTATCACCAGATTACGCGACGACTATCATTTGGTGGAGTGCTATTATCCCGTCAAAGGTCAAAGCTCTCAGGCCCAAGTGTCGAGTACCACCATGGGATGGCAAAGCCGAAGCACTGTTCCATGCTCGATTGGTAAAGATGATGTGGCATGCCTGGATGAGGCCAAGGTTGCGGTTGTCTTGAAAAGGATGTGTGATACAATCATCTTTGCAGAGTTTCGGTAAACAAAGCTCAACGCCATTCGTATCGTCGCCTGTAGGCAATTGAGGAGCATAGCTTTTTGCGTTAGAGTAGCAAAACTACATGTAGCAAGTATTGCACCAAGAACTACTAAAAGATGGACTAGTGAACGCAATATACGCTACTAGAACTTGCATATGCTCTCTGCGGACAGTTGCTACAACCTCAACACCCTTCGCTTCGCTTGAAAAACGATTCAAGACATTGTTTTTATAGAAAAAGCCCTCGAATGTTTTCTTGACGCGATTTGTTTGTCTGACAATGAATGTCTAGTAGGAAAGAAACGATGGCTTGTCCGTCATCAAGTCTTAACAATGAACGAAGTATGTAGCAATCATCTATAAGAGTAACCTTGATTACCACGCATGAATCGTCACTACATGAAAGTGGCTTTTACAGCAAGTGCTTCTAATCGCCATTATCGGACTATATACAGACGTTTTTCAGACACGGGCCAAGCAGGATTGTCCGCAGATGCCTGTGCTAATGTTAAAAAGACTCTGTAACACCGTCTACCACGATCTGCCAAGTAAATTATCAGATGATATCAGTCCTGAAACCCAAGACTCACCGAAACGGAGTCAGCACACGAACTCCCAAACAACTTGTTTATTTTTAGGTAAACGTAGGACTAACTGCAACATGCCTGTACTGCACTAATGCCTTTCCCGACAATCGCTCCAAACACTCACTCCTAAGAAGTGGTGTATTGGAAACCGCACAGTGGACTTCAACTTACTTCCTCTGTGCAGTTTTCAATACACCGCTTCTCTAACATCTTTGAATCCCGGTGAAGAGCTTGCTGTCTCTGGTGCCGCAACTGCTTCAATTATGCCTCTTTCGGCGTATTTTCGTAGTCAAGCAACATCCCGACTATCTCTCGCTTCACACGCTCACTGATCGGGTCTTCAAGCCACAGCAAGTGTTCTACGCGATCATGCGTCATATCAGCTTTTCTCCAGGTCTTCAACAGCGCATTTTGAAACGGCCTATAAGTTACAACGTCGACCTTGTCTTTCACGGCATTCGTTAAGATGTCAGCTAGCATCTGATCGACTTCGTCCTCTCCATCACGATGATGGAGCTTCTTCAGTACCTCGATCACCAGTTCGTACGGGTTTTCGCCTCGATTACGATACTTAACGAAAGTCTCCCACCCTCTACGTAATATAGGTTTGAAAAAGTCGCCGTTTCCACTACCTTTGAGCCACATAAAAACATTTTCCGGATCCTTACCGGTTGTCGCCCACATATGTACCTGTGCGTCGCTTAATGAACGTGCGACTTCATCGTGCTCATTCATAGCTTGCTTGACTTTCAGTGCATCACACAGAGTCTGGTCTCCATACTCAGTCGTCAAGACTTCGACAATGCTGGATCTAGCCAGATCCTTTTTGTTTTTGCAGATGTAGACCACCGCGCTTTCCCACGTACGATACTTCACACTGCCGATTAAATCCACCAGATCGACCTTCTCATGCGGCTCAAAGTTCCTTGAAGAGACTGTGTGTGGCCATCTTTGACACCTGCAAGATGACCAGATCCAACAAGGGGTTGTTAAGCAAGTTCTTAAGATGTTCTACCCTCAATTTTACTCTCAAAACGAACGTGGAGATGTTATCTCGACCTTGCATCCTTATAAGAACGTCTTTAGCAATAATATCGTCAGTATTAAAGACGGCTCCCCGATGACTTGCGCCCACTCCGAGTGATCCCAGCATCACCTTTGATCCCTCAAGGTCCAAAACCAAGGAGGCAAGATCAGGGGCTCTGGCTTCAGCACTGTTTTCTTGCGTTAGCAACAAGTCATTTGGCATGGAATATGTCTGGGCTTTGCTGGTATGATAACTAACATTTACAAGCGGCTCAGAGTTGGCGATGCTTTCAGCCGAGCTGTAAAACGCTAGACAAAGCAACACAATGACCCTAGTCATTGTTGAACTTCTGCGCTTAATGAAGTAAATTGTCAAATGACCGGTTTTGGTATACCTCACACGTTTTTATGAGCTATATATCCGCGTCTGTTTCTGCTTGAGCTCATCTCGTCCGAGCGGGAAAGTCAACATTATAGAAGTGACACTAGTCGTCAATTGGCACACGGACACACCAAAGTTCTGAGACCCAAAATTCAGCGACAATGAGTGTTAGCTTGCATTTTTCAATGTTTGAAGCAGTGTGAAGGCAACAAAGACGATCACGGACGAGAATGAAATGGTGCCTCTCGGATGCAGCAGACTGTAAGGTGGCTGGCCAAAACTGTCTGCCGTGTTGAACCAGTTGCAACTGGTCACACCGATTAGAATTCGATGCAGAATAAAACGAACAGCAACTGTAACTTCTCTACTTCGAATTTATTGTGGAGTCATGGTATCTTGAATATTTCTGCTGTAAAGCAAATGTACCACGCTCCTTAGAATTCCGTAACAAAGTTGAGAATAACTGAGTTGACTGCTTTGTATTTTCCAACAGGGCTGTTTCTATCTGCGCCACCAGAACTTCCTTACTGTTGGTTCTTAGTAGTGCCTGACAAAGCCATTTACGCTACTATTACCAACACGTCAGTAACAAAATAAGTTCATATTCTGAATCACATGTTTCCTAGGAGCCAGCTCACTCCAATCTGCGCTGAAAAGAACTCACGTTCGCGGGCGGTGTAAACCAGACAGTCAGCCACGATTCAACAACAGTCCGTTGTCTCAAAGCTGAGACGGACGAGGAGACGTCAAGAGCTGCGTGTCGCCACCGAGAGTACCGGCTTTTGGTGATGAGTCTATCAATGACCCGCTGCAGCGGTGCGGCGAGACGGTCCTATTTTTTATTCTAGCATTTAGTGCACGTTTTATATATTGATTCAGTTTTAAACCTTTCGGAGATAAAATGAAATGAACTGAAAAACCATGTAAAACACGTTTTAGTTATAGATTAAGTAAGATTTTGTTAACTTGTACTAATTCTTCCTTTCAAACTAAGTTTTCCTTTAATTCTAATAATCGCATTGCTACATTCTTATACGATGAATGCTATATGTATTTTTTAGATACAAAACATTTAACGCGTTAAGCACTCCGTTTAAAAAGTCTCATCGCACGATTGAAATTTAAAGAGATTGACGAAAGTCTGGTAGAGCATGTGGTTGAATTCGATACGAAATTGTCACGCTAGTAAATTTGTTTCAATATCTTTAAAATACCACTCTTATTGAAAAAAATAACTAATATTGATTAAATAAACAGTGTCTGGCTAATAGGTTAAGTGGGGATGGCAAGTGTGTAATTTGTGACTCTTACGTACGTCCGTGCACTCTGGTACGCATCTGTGATGAGTGTAAATTACGGTTCATACCAAGGTCAGTGCGTTATTTGCGGTGGCCCAGGAATCTCGGACGCTTCTTACTGTCGGGAATGTACGCAGCTGGAAAAAGATCGTGATGGTTGCCCCAAGATTGTCAACCTCGGAAGCTCCAAGATGGATCTTTTTTACGAACGCAAGAAGTATGGATTTAAGAAACGCTAATGTGCAGCTTCCTCATATAGGGCTGGCTCTGGATGTAGGAAAAGCAGCGAGAGAGAAATAGCAAGAGATACCAGGAAAAATAATCTTGACTCTACTAATTAGGACGTAAAGCTCCTTGTTACGTGTGCTTTCTGTTTTTAGGTCACCATCACGCTGTATCATAAGCGAGTATCTAGACAGCTCCACCTAGGATATCAACAATCAAGCCCGTCATGAAATTGCGCTGGGCTGGATGTCGTATAATTTCCTGCTTGCCCAATTGTTGGCCTTCTTCCATGATCAAAACCACACTCACCGAAGACTGCGCATACTTCTACGTGGAGTTTTTTCGTTGTCTCTGAGGAAGCTTAGGCAAGCTCTTCTTTCTCCAGAATTCATTAGTTGACGAGCGAATTGGTGAGTGCTAGTGACATCTTGCTGCTTGTCGAAGCTGCTGTGACGTAAAGGTGACCAGACATGGCTTTATGAGATGCAGCCAAGAGAATGTTGTTAACCTTGCAAAGCCCTCACCAAGAGGCTGACAAATTCGACGTGTGTCGTTAGCAGTTCGTCGCCTGTAGGCAATTGAGAAGCATAGCTTTTTGCGTTAGAGTAGCAAAACTACATGTAGCAAGTATTGTACCAAGAACTACTAAAAGATGGACTAGTGAACGCAATATACGCTACTAGAACTTGCATATGCTCTCTGCGGACAGTTGCTACAACCTCAACACCCTTCGCTTCGCTTGAAAAACGATTCAAGACATTGTTTTTATAGAAAAAGCCCTCGAATGTTTTCTTGACGCGATTTGTTTGTCTGACAATGAATGTCTAGTAGGAAAGAAACGATGGCTTGTCCGTCATCAAGTCTTAACAATGAACAAAGTATGTAGCAATCATCTATAAGAGTAACCTTGATTACCACGCATGAATCGTCACTACATGCAAGTGGCTTTTACAGCAAGTGCTTCTAATCGCCATTATCGGACTATATACAGACGCTTTTCAGACACGGCTCGTCTTGTGGCCACGTAGGATTGTCCGCAGATGCCTGTGCTAATGTTGAAAAGACTCTGGAGCAGCGTCTACCACGATCTGCCAAGTAAATTATCAGATGATATCAGTCCTGAAACCCAAGACTCACCGAAACGGAGTCAGCACACGAACTCCCAAACAACTTGTTTATTTTTAGGTAAACGTAGGACTAACTGCAACATGCCTGTACTGCACTAATGCCTTTCCCGACAATCGCTCCAAACACTCACTCCTAAGAAGCGGTGTATTGGAAACCGCACAGTGGACTTCAACTTACTTCTTCTGTGCAGTTTCCAATACACCGCTTCTCTAACATCTTTGAATCCCGGTGAAGAGCTTGCTGTCTCTGGTGCCGCAACTGCTTCAATTATGCCTCTTTCGGCGTATACTTTCGTAAGCACGCAAGATCTCGACTATCTTTTCCCTCACACGCTCACTGATCGGGTCTTCAAGCCACAGCAAGTTTTTTACGCGATCATGCGTCATATCAGCTTTTCTCCAGGTCTTCAACAGCGCATTTTGAAACGGCCCATAAATTTCAACGTCGACCTTGTCTTTCACGGCATTCGTTAAGATGTCAGCTAGCATCTGATCGACTTCGTCCTCTCCATCACGATGATGGAGCTTCTTCAGTACCTCGATCACCAGTTCGTACGGGTTTTCGCCTCGATTACGATACTTAACGAAAGTCTCCCACCCTCTACGTAATATAGGTTTGAAAAAGTCGCCGTTTCCACTACCTTTGAGCCACATAAAAACATTTTCCGGATCCTTACCGGTTGTCGCCCACATATGTACCTGTGCGTCGCTTAATGAACGTGCGACTTCATCGTGCTCATTCATAGCTTGCTTGAGTTTCAGTGCATCACACAGAGTCTGGTCTCCATACTCAGTCGTCAAGACTTCGACAATGCTGGATCTAGCCAGATCCTTTTCGTCTTTGCAGATGTAGACCACCGCGCTTTCCCACTTACTATACTTCACACTGCCGATATAATCCACCAGTTGTCCTGCTCACCCGGCTTATAGACCATGAAGAGACGGCGTGTGGCCTGCTTTGTTATCTGCACGATAAACGCATTCAATAAGGGGCTGTTAGACATGTTTTTAGAATGTTATAACCTCAATTTAAATCGCAAAACGACCTCGGAGATGCTAACTTGACCTTGCATCCTCATAAGATTCGCTGCAGCAATAATATCTGCAGCAATACTATCTGCAGCATCAAGATCAAAAGCGACTCCTTGATGACTTGCGCTCGCTTCGAGTGATGCCAGCCTCATCTTTAATTCCTCAAGGTCCGAAACCAAGGAGGCAAGATCAGGGGCTCTGGCTTCAGCACTGTTGTCTTGCTTTAGCGACGAGTCATTTGGCATGGAATATGTCTGGGCTTTGCTGGTATGATAACTAACATTTACAAGCGGCTCGGAGTTGGCGATGCTTTCAGCCGAGCTGTAAAACGCTAGACAAAGCAACACAATGACCCTAGTCATTGTTGAACTTCTGCGCTCAATGAAGTAAATTGTCAAATGACCGGTTTTGGTATAACTCACACGTTTTTATGAGCTATATATCCGCGTCTGTTTCTGCTTGAGCTCATCTCGTCCGAGCGGGAAACTCAACATTATAGAAGTGACACTAGTCGTCAATTGGCACACGGACACACCAAAGTTCTGAGACCTAAAATTCAGCGACAATGAGTGTTAGCTTGCATTTTTCAATCTTTGAAGCAGTGTGAAGGCAACAAAGATGATCACGGACAAGAATGAAATGGTGCCTCTCGGATGCAGCAGACTGTAAGGTGGCTGGCCAAAGCTGTCTGCCGTGTTGAACCAGTTGCAACTGGTCACACCGATTATTAGAATTCGATGCAGAATAAAACGAACAGCAACTGTAACTTTTCTACTTCGAATTTATTGTGTAGTCATGGTATCTTGAATATTTCTGCTGTAAAGCAAATGTACCACGCTCCTTAGAATTCCGTAACAAAGTTGAGAATAACTGAGTTGACTGCTTTGTATTTTCCAACAGGGCTGTTTCTATCTGCGCCACCAGAACTTCCTTACTGTTGGTTCTTAGTAGTGCCTGACAAAGCCATTTACGCTACTATTACCAACACGTCAGTACAAAATAAGTTCATATTCTGAATCCTGTTTCCTAGGAGCCAGCTCACTCCAATCTGCGCTGAAAAGAACTCACGTTCGCGGGCGGTGTAAACCAGACAGTCAGCCACGATTCAACAACAGTCCGTTGTCTCAAAGCTGAGACGGACGAGGAGACGTCAAGAGCTGCGTGTCGCCACCGAGAGTACCGGCTTTTGGTGATGAGTCTATCAATGACCCGCTGCAGCGGTGCGGCGAGACGGTCCTATTTTTTATTCTAGCATTTAGTGCACGTTTTATATATTGATTCAGTTTTAAACCTTTCGGAGATAAAATGAAATGAACTGAAAACCCATGTAAAACACGTTTTAGTTATAGATTAAGTAAGATTTTGTTAACTTGTACTAATTCTTTTCAAACTAAGTTTTCCTTTAATTCTAATAATCGCATTGCTACATTCTTATACGATGAGTGCTATATGTATTTTTTAGATACAAAACATTTAACGCGTTAAGCACTCCGTTTAAAAAGTCTCATCGCACGATTGAAATTTAAAGAGATTGACAAAAGTCTGGTAGAGCATGTGGTTGAATTCGATACGAAATTGTCACGCTAGTAAATTTGTTTCAATATCTTTAAAATACCACTCTTATTGAAAAAAATAACTAATATTGATTAAATAAACAGTGTCTGGTTAATAGGTTAAGTGGGGATGGCAAGTGTGTGAGCTGTGACTCTTACGTACGTCCGTGCACTCTGGTACGCATCTGTGATGAGTGTAAATTACGGTTCATATCAAGGTCGGTGCGTTATTTGCGGTGGCCCAGGAATCTCGGACGCTTTTTACTGTCGGGAATGTACGCAGCTGGAAAAAGATCGTGATGGTTGCCCCAAGATTGTCAACCTCGGAAGCTCCAAGATGGATCTTTTTTACGAACGCAAGAAGTATGGATTTAAGAAACGCTGATGTGCAGCTTCCTCATATAGGGCTGGCTCTGGATGTAGGAAAAGCAGCGAGAGAGAAATAGCAAGAGATACCAGGAAAAATAATCTTGACTCTACTAATTAGGACGTAAAGCTCCTTGTTACGTGTGCTTTCTGTTTTTAGGTCACCATCACGCTGTATCATAAGCGAGTATCTAGACAGCTCCACCTAGGATATCAACAATCAAGCCCGTCATGAAATTGCGCTGGGCTGGATGTCGTATAATTTCCTGCTTGCCCAATTGTTGGCCTTCTTCCATGATCAAAACCACACTCACCGAAGACTGCGCATACTTCTACGTGGAGTTTTTTCGTTGTCTCTGAGGAAGCTTAGGCAAGCTCTTCTTTCTCCAGAATTCATTAGTTGACGAGCGAATTGGTGAGTGCTAGTGACATCTTGCTGCTTGTCGAAGCTGCTGTGACGTAAAGGTGACCAGACATGGCTTTATGAGATGCAGCCAAGAGAATGTTGTTAACCTTGCAAAGCCCTCACCAAGAGGCTGACAAATTCGACGTGTGTCGTTAGCAGTTCGTCGCCTGTAGGCAATTGAGAAGCATAGCTTTTTGCGTTAGAGTAGCAAAACTACATGTAGCAAGTATTGTACCAAGAACTACTAAAAGATGGACTAGTGAACGCAATATACGCTACTAGAACTTGCATATGCTCTCTGCGGACAGTTGCTACAACCTCAACACCCTTCGCTTCGCTTGAAAAACGATTCAAGACATTGTTTTTATAGAAAAAGCCCTCGAATGTTTTCTTGACGCGATTTGTTTGTCTGACAATGAATGTCTAGTAGGAAAGAAACGATGGCTTGTCCGTCATCAAGTCTTAACAATGAACAAAGTATGTAGCAATCATCTATAAGAGTAACCTTGATTACCACGCATGAATCGTCACTACATGCAAGTGGCTTTTACAGCAAGTGCTTCTAATCGCCATTATCGGACTATATACAGACGCTTTTCAGACACGGCTCGTCTTGTGGCCACGTAGGATTGTCCGCAGATGCCTGTGCTAATGTTGAAAAGACTCTGGAGCAGCGTCTACCACGATCTGCCAAGTAAATTATCAGATGATATCAGTCCTGAAACCCAAGACTCACCGAAACGGAGTCAGCACACGAACTCCCAAACAACTTGTTTATTTTTAGGTAAACGTAGGACTAACTGCAACATGCCTGTACTGCACTAATGCCTTTCCCGACAATCGCTCCAAACACTCACTCCTAAGAAGCGGTGTATTGGAAACCGCACAGTGGACTTCAACTTACTTCTTCTGTGCAGTTTCCAATACACCGCTTCTCTAACATCTTTGAATCCCGGTGAAGAGCTTGCTGTCTCTGGTGCCGCAACTGCTTCAATTATGCCTCTTTCGGCGTATACTTTCGTAAGCACGCAAGATCTCGACTATCTTTTCCCTCACACGCTCACTGCGGGTCTTCAAGCCACAGCAAGTTTTTTTACGCGATCATGCGTCATATCAGCTTTTCTCCAGGTCTTCAACAGCGCATTTTGAAACGGCCCATAAATTTCAACGTCGACCTTGTCTTTCACGGCATTCGTTAAGATGTCAGCTAGCATCTGATCGACTTCGTCCTCTCCATCACGATGATGGAGCTTCTTCAGTACCTCGATCACCAGTTCGTA